GGTGAGGGGCTGATAGCTGTTTGCAGGCTGGCCACTTCCCTTAGCCACCCAAGCTCCCAGTGGAAGCTGGCTGGAAGCAGGTATCTGGGATTTATTTAGCTTCTATAATTGAAACTTTGTTGCCTTGAGTGGAGGCCACAGCCAGCGAGGGCAGGTGGGCAGCTTGGCTTCCTCCATCGCCGGAGCAACCAAGCCTCCTGCTTGCTCCAGCTCCATGGTTGCCAGCGACCATCTTGGTTGAGTTAATTTGCATATAGTCGCTCTGATTGGATGGTGGGTGTGGCTTAAGGCATAGCGGAGGTGTGGTCAATTTGCATGTTTCTCTTTTATTAGATTAGACTAGAGTCCCAGCGCACGAAATCGTGTGCGAGTAGGGTCCCTAGGCCTATCCTGTGGTCAGGCCCATCTTCCACCTGCTTGCCAGCCCCAGGTCCCACCCTGCCTCCACCGCCAGCCACCAGGTTCCCCTCACTGGCCTTCATCCTGCCCTATCGCCTCTGCCAGCCAGCCAGTTCCCTCGCTGGTCCCAACTCCCGGACTGCTACCACTGCCAGCCACCCAGTTCCCCTTGCCAGCCCCCCACCTCATAGCAACTGGTCAAGCAGTCGTTCCGGTCATTCCGCTTATGGTTGCTGGCCTTTTATTATATAGGATAGTCCCATTTGTTTATTTTTTCCTTTGTTTCTCTTGCCCTAGGCCATATATCTGAGGAAATTCTGCTATGTGGGATGTCTGATATTTTGCTGCCTATGTTTTCTCCTAGAATTTTTATTGTTTCATGACTTACATTTAAGTCTTTTATCCATTTTGAATTTATTCTTATATATGGTGTAAGTTAGTGGTCTAGTTTCATTTTTTTTGCATGTAGCTGTCCAATTTTCCCAACACCATTTATTGAAGAGACTGTCTTTACTCCATTGTATGCTCTTGCCTCCAGGTCAAATATTAATTGTGCATTAATTGATTTCTTTGGTCTCTTCATGTAGTATTAGCCCATTAATCTTTATCAATACCTTCATCATTGCATGAGCAGTTTTTAACACTCCTTCCTCTCATTTATTTGAACAAACCCAAACTCTGATCAATCTTTGTATTTATAACCTACTGTTTATGAAAACATTAATGAGAAGAAAAATTTATTTGATACCCCTTATTCAATTCTAAGGAAAAATACTGTTTTATATTTCATTAGAAGCAACACAAGATTTTTCTGTAAATCTCCATTATATAGGGAAATCTCCATTGTACAAGATCTTTCTGTAAATCTATTTTTCTGTGTTTCACATTCTCAAGATGCCCACTGAGAAGATACTAAAATTATAAGTGCTTTATACCTTTACATGATTTGAGTGCTAAAGGCATGGTCACCCAATGTCCATTTTTCATCAGTCAGGCAGCAATGGATACATGGAAAACAATGCAAATGTTCATATTAAATTGTAAATATTTTCTATGGGAAATTGTATTTTCTCATGTTTATTCAGAATTGAGTGTCCTAAAGCACCAACAGGTCCTTAGGCTCCATGCTGTTTGTCTTGTTGATGATTTATTATGTGCTAAGTAAGGGTTGTTGCTCTCAGACTGTGAACTTAAGGACAAGGGCTCTTATTTCTGCATCTATAGCATCTAGTATAAACCATGTAAAAATAAAATTCAACCAGGAAGGGTGCATACAAAGGGAGCAATTAATTCTATTCACCATGGTTGGGTATGCATGGAGTAAAGAATATATGCCTAAGGAAGCTGAATAAGAACAGAATTTTAAACAAGTTGTAGGGAATTTCAGGAGAACATAGGCATTCCAGGTTGGAAAAAAAAGATGCATTATATGCAAAAGCACAGGGGAGTAATATTACTGGCTTTATGAAAGTTTAAGTGTTGACAGCAAGGCTAAATTACCAAGAGATGAGCCTGGAGAGTGCGGGAAAACAAGATGAAAGAACTTCTATACCTTGTGAAGGAGTTTGACCAGGATCCTGGAAGTAATGAGAAATCAAAGAAGGATTAGAAACATCAGAAAGATCCTGTACTTGAATTTTAGATGATTTGGGGGGCATATTCTCTTGCAGGTGGATTAAATGGTAGGCAAATCTAGAGCCCAAAATAAACAATCCATGGCAGCCCACAGAAGTCAACCTACAGAACTACAGAAGGACAGAATGGGGTTCAATCATGGAGTGGGGAGAGGCAAGCCAGAACACCCAGCACAGTTCCTGCTTCAAAAGAGTTCATTCCACGGGGGATTAACACACACTTGGAAATGTACTTCTTATGTAC